GCCGTTTCAGAGACCCCCCGTATCACGAGGTGGGGTGAACCGGCAGCGTCCTTGGGCCAAATAAAAAGGGTAACCCCGGTACTTTCAGACTGCACCCTTATCGTCACGCTTCTTTACGTGGCGTCGTGTAACCCCGACTAAGGAACGAGTCGGGTTCACGAGTTGACACGTACAACCAACTCAACGGATTCGACTTTCATCCACGTCGGATTCTGACGTGGCATTTCAGTCCCAGTCAGCAATCCTTACCACCCTTCCCCTTTATAATGCCCCGGACCACTTCCCTCCCTGCTAAATCGTCCTCCAAAAGCCAAAAACAAACAAAATACAACACAACCGAAGTAGCACTCTCATTTCATTTTCGTTTTCACGCTTTCTCTCACCCTCCTTTTTTCTTCTTTTTATCTGGTTTTCTTCCTTCTCGCTTGTGTCGCCGGCGATTTTTCGCCGGAAAACCGAAGCAGTTTGCTGAGGTATAGTATGGAGTCACCGGCCGCTGATGATCTTTGCGTGAATTTCCAAGGCAATAACGTTACGTTCTCGTGCCGTCGCGTATTTCGGGAACTTTAACCGAATTTTTGAAAAAAAAGAAAAAATTAAGCAAAAGCGACTTTACTTAGCAGAGTTTTGAAGTTATTCCATGCTTTGTCTCGCAAATCGAAGGCAAATAATAGTATATAATAATCAAGTTAAGAGTCTCGAGTCTTGGTGAAATGCATTGATATTTGGCTCTCCTGAAAAAGATATTATAAATTTCTGTGTCGATTGCGTTTGCTGATCTCATCACAAAACGAGATGTTGTCCTGTTATGGAAGCCAAGAATCAACAAGAATTTGAAGAGCTGCCGTGTTGAAGGTGGAAGTGGTTTTTTTCTGATCAAAGCTGAGACTCATGCCTTTCCCTATGAAGATCCAACCGATCGATTTCAACCCGCTAGAAGAGGTTGCTCCGCCTCGGTTGGAGACGGTGAAGCCGGTGGTGAAATCGCGGTTTAAGCGGCTGTTTGAGCGGCAGTTCCCTAGCGTTCTGAGAAATTCAGCGGCGGAGAAGGTCGGCGCTGTTGCTGCCGCCGATGAGCTGCCTTTTAATAAAGAATGCGCCGCTGAGTTCGAGCCGAGCTCTGTTTGCTTGGCGAAGATGGTGCAGAACTTCATCGAAGAAAACAACGAGAAGCAACAATCTGGTGCGGTTAGGTGCAACCGTAACCGCTGCAACTGCTTCAATCGTAACTCCACCGACAGCTCGGAAGATGAAATGGATGGTTTTAGCTTCGGTGACTCCAATCTCAGTTCTTCCGCGGAGGCAACTGAAATGCTAAAGGTAAGAACGATTACTTTGTCCCTCTTTTTCCTTCAACTACTTTTTGTTTGTAAGTTATAGACTGTGTATATATTTATTTAAAAGAAATTTGCTTTATCTTTTCCGAAGCAGAGTTTGGTTTCTTGTGCAAGTGTGAGTGAAAGAAATTTACTGGCGGATACAGCGAGGATTGTGGAGAAGAACAAGATCTCTAAGCGTAAAGATGATTTTTCCAGGAAGGTTGTTACTGATGGATTACTGGCTCTTGGATACGATGCTTCTATTTGCAAGTCTCGCTGGGAAAAATCCCCCTCTTATCCCGCCGGTACTTTCTCTTTCTTTCCATTCTCTTCTAAAAATATACATCTATAATTTTGTTTACTTGGACTCCATAACAAAGGTCAAAGAGAGAAAGAAAGTCTAATCTGTGTTCAAATTATATATGCAGATAAATTATGCTATCCAATTCCTCTGTTATGGCTTGAATTTTAATAATTACGGAAATAATAGTAATACTAGTTTGTTTTTAACAAGCAGGAGAATATGAATACATAGATGTGATAATTGATGGGGAACGATTGCTGATCGACATCGATTTCAGATCAGAATTCGAAATCGCCCGATCAACAAAGACTTACAAATCCATCCTCCAAATGCTTCCCTTCATCTTTGTAGGCAAAGCTGATCGCCTCCAGAAGATAATTGCCATAGTTTCTGAGGCGGTTAAGCAAAGCCTGAAGAAGAAGGGAATGCATATTCCTCCATGGCGAAAAGCAGAGTATGTCAAGGCCAAATGGCTATCTCCTCATACCAGAGCCTCGCCTTCGCCTTCGCCTTCTCCTTCACCCACTCCTACACCCACACCCACCATTGGAACACTCAAAGAATTGGAATGTGAAACCAAAGCTAATGAAAAACCCCAAAAACCCCAACCTCTGTTTGAATCAAATGTTGTGGAGAAAAACTCAGCTGAGTCAGGGGAGTCCATATTTGCTTTGTCTGAGAGCTCTGAAGAAGAAGGGAATGAAAAGGTGGACAAAGAAGAGTGGAAGCCACCTGAAATAAAGCCCAAGAGCTCACAGATTGGCGTTAAGATCGTGACTGGTTTGGCCTCAGTAATTGAAGATGAGCCAAGAAAATTTTGACTTTTGATATAATAATTTTTCATTTTTCTTATTCCCTTTTGGGTTATTAGAGAACCAAATACTATGGTACATGGTTTAACTGTTAAATCCCCTTCTGTTTTTAATGTAAGGGTTGATCTGATTTTACTAATATGAATAAGATTGTTACTATAAACATAGTTAAAAGGAGAAATTAGAAATTTTGTTCTCAAGCTGGTGCCTCCTATTCTTTCTTCTTTAAATCTGCAAGGAAGCCTGGAAACTGATTCCAATTGTTTTACTCTTTTTCTCACCTCATTATATTCCTCTCTTTTCTTTTTATGTCATTTTGATTTTCTGCAGAGAGGGATCTTTGGAATTTTAGAATCAAAGCATAGTAGACAGAAAAGGTAATTCCCCATCTCTTCTGTTTTGCCCTTTTCTCCATTTTTTTATTCCAAACAAGTTTATCAGCTTCTGATATTTAATATACTGTTCTTTTCTTAAAGGTGGAGAACTGAATTTTATGAATGATGGAAGCAAGGCTCGTGCAGTCTCGAGCACTGTGAGGTTTTAGGCCTTAAGCAATTTTTTAATTAATTGCTTTCGACTGGTACTCTGCTATATTCATCTTTTATTATAGTATATATTAATATTATATATCTTAATTAAATAACTCTAGACTCTAGTATTTAATTTATGGCATTAAATAACTTTATAATTAGTTGTCCTGCTAGATGATATGGATTGAATTGTTCCTGGTTTCAGGGCGGCCGGAATACCTCTTTCTAACTGGTTTTCTGAATATAACCTGCGGTTTTGGTTAGAAAGAGAGGTGGGATGGTCAATTATGGCCAGTCAATATCAGATAAGCCTTTTGAAAGTTTCAAACTACTCTGGATAGTAATTAAAGCATAAATAGAAGAAATATAATGTTGATAGAATTATGCCATATTAGAACAAAAGATATTCTAATTGCAAAAACTTAGCTAATCGAAATCCTTATGTTTGGTTAATATTGGCTTGGGAATGACGTTTGTCTATTTAGTAGTTGGCATTTCTATATATATTCTGATTCTGATATATTGCCATATGAATAAGGCCTTGTGTCGGTTTCTTAATCTCCTTTTTTATCTGTCCCCCCGAAATGAAGAAAAAATGGGAGTTACTTTGGACGTGAAAACTGAAAACAACACATTTCTCTTTTGCGAATATTATCATTCATGTTTTGAGGCCCGAGCCATGGTGAGGCTTGGTTGGTGGGGGTGGCTCGTTGGTCCCCGGCATTTTAGATTGGGACTCTTTAGACCTGGATTCGTTGGTTCATAGGTAGAATGGTCCAGCAGGAGGAGAAAAAATCCATAAGAATTTAAGAAGCTGCTTACAGTACAAGATTGGTGTTGGGCACTTTTTCTATATTTTGGAAGTTTGAATCTTTTGGATAATTTCAGATTTTGAGGACCTGATTTTGGGGAAGATAGTGGTGGGTATGCTTTCGTCTTCCTTGATTGAAAAATGTCTTTTACTTGTAATACAGGCAAAAAATTAAAAAGAGTCGGTTGGGATGCAACGACGTGAAGCTTCCTGCAAAGAACATTACCCAAAGGACTTAAATTTCAATTGATGACAAAAAAGATTAAATATTGCTTTCAAAAGACTTCTTTTTCTGTTAATGGATTAAGGATCAAGCTTCGAATCTTTACTTAATTAACTTTAGCAGTTTAGATTAATCACTAATTTACCTTTTTACTAGAATTCTTTACATTTGTCAATCGTCAGTTCATTCACCGAAAGTTAGAAGTCACTCGTCTTGGTTGGAATGATGACAATTTCCACCGAAACAGAAAGCGGGCGTACGTTTTCTTTGGTAATTCCTAAACTGCGCAGGAGCAGGGCGCACCTGTTGGGTTTATGTTCAGCTTTTGCTAACATGCACCAAAACTTGTCGTTTATGGGCCTCGTACTGACTCAGGGCCCACTTAGTATCTCGGAAATTGCAATGGGGGAAATCTTATAAAATTTCATCAAAAGCTCATTTGATTTGATTTATATTTATTACTGCATTTCTGTATATTTTAAAACTCCGGGACAATCATTACATTTGTGAAAATTACACCAGATTATTAAAATTGATTTAACTTTTGTTATCCAGTTCTCTGTATAAAAAATTTGGTGGGGTCGATGATTTATACTTTAACTTATAGGAGTATTTATTTAATAATAATGTGTTGGCCTGTTGGGTCTAAAGTTTGACATTAATGCTTTATTTTTTTCAGTAGTTTTAATTTTAATTAGGAATTTACTATTACTAGTATTATTTTATTTTGTGAAAGCAACAATGGACCTACTATATTTAAATTCCATATCACACCCTTATGTTTATTTTATTGCATCAGTTAGCCTGTCCACGGAATTCAGTTTTTGTGTCTGACTTATTCTGAGATGAAGAAAATATTAAAGATTGGGTCATTCATGTGTACTTTGTAAAAAGACAAATCTGATTTGCTCATATGTGTCATTGCCTTTAAATCTTATCTTTTACAGTTTTACTAGTTGTAATATCTAAGTTCAAAGGGGTGAGATCATACCAGCACTAATGCATCAGATTCCAGTATTAATGTATCGGATCCCATCAGAACTCCGCAGTTAAGCGTGTTTGGACGAGAGTAGTATTAGGATGAGTGACCTCTTGGGAAGTCCTCGTATTGCACCCCTTTAAAAACCAACAAGTGGTTGGTTTAAGTGGTTTGACACTTGTTCCCCTTAAGCAAGGTCTCGGATTCAGTCTTGTGAATGGAGAAAACCATTGTTGGAAGAGTTTTATCCCATAATAGGTCAATCCGACTCGAACAAAGTTAACTTGTAAATATACCAAAAAAAAATATCTAAGTTCAAGGGCTCTGAGTTCGTAGAAGAAGAATTTTCCAGTTTTTGTAACTAAAACCTATCCCGTGTAAAAGAGAAATGTATTTGGTCAATGGTATTAAGATTTTACTATTAATAATAAATTGTAAGAAATAAATCAGGAAAATAAGGTCAGTCCACTCCACCGTGGTTTCTAGATTTACTTACATTAATCTTTTGACATATGCTTCTTGAAGTTGACAAAAGCAACACTGCAACAGTTTGGTAATAACAAGCTACTAAATTTACCAAAAAAAAAGTAACAAACTACTAATAAGATATATTTATGCTGTCTCATCTTGTTTATTTTTGTTGTTAAAGTTTTTAACATATGCTTCATAAGCTGCAAAAGCACCAAAGAAAACCGAAATATTGAAAGAAAAAGTTTCAAAGCACGAGATTAAAATGAAAACAAATGTGTGTCAACTTTATGAAAGAAATCAAGTACGAGTATACATAAAACTTTTTATAAAGTAGTCGGCTTTTAATAAGTGGGCTGTTTCTAGGCTTTTTCTTTAAAATTTTCTTATGAAAAAAAAAGTCACTCTCGTATTTTTATTTTTCAGAAGTCAATAATTTTGTCCCTCCTTGATTCATTTCACCACTAGTTACTATGGTTAATTAAAGTGTGAAAATACTCCCCAATAGTCCAAAATGGTGTACTCTACTATTATTATACTAGAAAATACTAGAATTTACTATCATTAATTAATATAATTAGTTAATTTGGTTTTTCTTTTTAATTCCTAAAGCTAGTACTATTTTCAAATTTTTTTAAAAGCTCGAAAAATACTAATAATGGGTGTGGGTGAGAGGGGAGGGGGACCAGAAGAAGCTGGTGCAACGGCCAACGTTAGTTAATTGGTACTAGAAAGAAAAAAAGAGCAGGGGAAGAAACAATTAAAGGGATAAAAAGAAGAAAATAGGATTCTTCTTTTCTTTCGTTCTCATCCTCGTGAGACAGAGTTTTTGTTTGAGGGTTTCAATTTCAAAGTTGCCTTAATATCCTACTGTACTGTAAAACAACAAAACCAAACAAAAAAAAAAAAAAGGAGAGAAGTCTGTCGGTGGGAAGGACACGAGAGTTTCATTCTCTGTCTGATGATCCAAACACATGGCTCTCTTCTGGCTTCTGCAATCAATGTCCTCCTCGTTTTTGGACCACACATTATATATATCCTAGTATTTTTAGATTTTATGGTAATAACTGATCATGCACATAATTGGAGTAGGGTATTTTTTTTTTTTTTTACTTCTCCTAAATCTAATTGTCAGCATGGATGAACACTTATGAAGTTATTACAGATGAGTGATGATCTTATGAACTCGAATTCGTGGGAGTTATCACATAATTAGGCTAAATCACATATATTATTATATATTGATGTGAATTTTAAATTTAAAACTTGTCTGTTAAA